GACAGAGGCTCCATGACAGGGGCCCCACGACAGAGGCTCCATGACAGGCTCCTTAACAGATGCCCCATGACAGAGGCTCCATGACAGAGGCCCCGTGACAGAGACTTCATGACAGGGGCCCCACGACAGAGGCTCCATGACAGAGGCCCCGTGACAGAGGCTCCATGACAGAGGCTCCGTGACAGAGGCTTCATGACAGGGGCCCCACGACAGAGGCTCCATGACAGAGGCTCCTTAACAGATGCCCCATGACAGAGGCTCCATGACATGGGCCCCACGACAGAGGCTCCGTGACAAAGGCTCTGTGACAGAGGCCCCATGACATGGGCTTTGTGACAGGCCCCATGACAGAGGCCCCGTGACAGAGGCTTTGTGGCAGAACCCCAATTACAGAAGCCCCGTGACAGAGGTGGTTACCTCCCCACAGCTTCCACACCAGAGCTCGTCCTGGAGATGCTGCCGTGGTCTGTGTGCAGCTTTGTGCAGACTCCTTGTTCATCATATGGAAGGAACACTTAAAAAACACACATCCGGGAGTTAGATTTCCAAGATTCGTCGTGTTGCTGCCTCACTGAGGGCATTCTTCAGAGGACCCGGTAGCTCCTTGGGCTGCAGGTGCATCGTGGTGAAGAGCCTGTGGCCTTGTGCAGAGTCAGCGGTGTTACCAAGTGTCCTCACAGCAGAAAAGGCGAGTGACATCTCAGTGCCACTCTGAAAGCAGGGTGCACATGCTGCAGTCGGGGGTCAAGCCCGGTTGCCCTGTCTTCAGTCCTGAGCAGAGGAGTAAAGTGGGAAGCAGTTTAGTGGCTGCTTTAGTTCATAGTAAAATCAAGTGAGTAGCAAGGTGCTGGGAACAATAGTGAAGCCAGGTTGGGGTAACACTATACTCCCCTGGCTCAGAAGAATGTTGTAAGCTAAAAGGAATTAGGAGATTGGACCAAACTTTTAGTGGGCCCAAGGGAATGTTTTCCATGGGCAGCCAGTAGTTGCTGTTTGAAAGAATGAACGTCTCACAGTCCCTGACGAGTGACTACGGATCAGATCCTGCCTTCTGTTTCTGAACAAGTACCGTTGGAGCTCTGGGTGCCAGGCACATGCCAGGGACCTCACAAAGCGAACAGGCAGCCCTGCTCTCGTGGACAGATGGCGCTCTCTTCTAACAGAGAGCCAGAGCCGCGCAGGGGACACAGATGTAACTCCATCGTAGTGCGGTGCAGAGAAGAAAGTTAAAGCAGGGAAGGGCAAGAAGAGTGACAGAAAAGCTCTTTTTAGACAGGCTACTCAGAAACAACTTTTCTTCAGAAGAGCCTTTGAGCAGAGACCTGGGCAAAGTGAGGATTGAGCTGAGCTGAGCCTACTCTGGCGGGGGGATGCACCGGAGGGCCCCCGTTAGTTAGGAAAGAACTTGGGGAGTCATGGTAGCGGGTCAAGTTGGGGAGGGTTAGGGTTAGATAGGCTTGTGGGAAAATAGGGGATGGTGGGGGAAGTGGGAGGCTGCAGGGGAAGTTTTAGGCATGCCAGGAAGAGTGGCTGCAGGAGGCAGAGGGAAAGGTCCCATGTCCCGGGCCCTTTACACCTGACCAACCCTATACTGTTATTATCAGAACTGATTTATAGACAGATGATGAGAAACAGGCATTGAGAGGCTGAATAACATGCTGGAGGCCACAGGGCCCATGAGTGGCTGCTGAGAGTCAGCGGGTCAGACTGTATCGCAAACCACGGGATGAGGGATGAGGAGCCCAGTGCAGGAGCCTCATGGTGTGCGGCGTGGCCCAGGGGCAGGGCATCCAGACCCCAGAGCACAGAGGAATGTCGTCCTCTACTTCAGGAGCCTTCCGGGTGGACTTGGGGTGCACAGGACCCAGCGGAAAGGTGCAGGGGCCCCCAGATTTCATGTGAAAAAAGTAGACTCGCTCCTCACTCCTGAGCCACACAGACCTCTCCTGCATCAGTGAGTGGCCTCCTGCCGACAAAAGCCTGGGGAACTCCACAACCCTCTGTCACCCCCACACGCTGTCCATAGACATGACATCACCCCTAGTCGACCCATCTCTTGCCAAGTTTACAGGCTGCTTCCCTCCAGGCCCTAGAGCTGCCACAGTGCCACTCCCTGGTCAAAACCCTCCGAGGGCTTACCTCCTCCACCAAGAGCAAAATCGAAACTTCCTCATGGCCTGTGGGATAGGGTGTCCCTCCTCCCTGGCCTCACCTCAGCAGCTCACACCAGCCCCTCCCTGTCTTACGCAGTAAGTACCCATCAGTGTAACTATGATCACTGCTCTTGCTACCCAGTGCATAATGATGTTTTGGGTAATGCCTTCCTACTTACTGTTTTCTTGACCTAGAATGTTCTTTGTTTCACTTCTTCACTCCCCTCGCCTCCCTCCCACTTATCTCCTCATGATCTACCCCCCCCCCTTAGAAAGAATAATGATTTGGTGCCTTTTGTGATTTAAAAAGTTTTAAATACTTCAAACAATAAAGAAAAATGCCGAATTTAAAAAGGTGAATTAAAAAAAAAATCTTACCACCCAGAAGCAACACTCATTAACATTTGGTGAACGCAATTCATAATATCTCTCTGTATGGAAGGAAGGATAGATGGATGAAAGAAAGGAAGGAAGAATAAACGGAAGGAGGGAAGAACAGTTGAGTAGATGGATTGATGGATGAATGGATGGACACAGGTGGATGAATGGATGAGTGGACAGTTGGATGGGTGGATAGATGGAAGGACAGTTGGGTGGATGGATGAGTATATGGAGGGCCAGTTGAAAGGGTGGATGGATGCATGGATGGATGGATGGATGGACCATACTATATTGCTACATTTAATTAAAAGTATTTCTACTGAATTTAACAGGAGAAAAAAAATTAAAGTGAAACCAAAGAAAATGCTGAACTTTGGATAAATGTTTTTGTTACAAGAAATATTAGTTGACAAAATATTCCTATAAAATTAAGAAAAAACATAAAAAATGTTAAGAGACTGGAATCATTTTCTTAAATTAACTCTCCTCCTGTTTTAGCCCGTATCTGTTGACTCCCTGCTATAAAGGTTGTTGTTGATGTTGTTGTTGTTAGATGCTGCCAAGTCGGTTGTGACTCATGGTGACCGTATGTACAATGGAACAAAACCCTGCCCAGTCCTGCGCCATCCTCACAATCGTTATGCTTGAGCTCATTGTTGCAGCCACTGTGTCACTCCATCTCATTGAGGGTCTTCCTCTTTTTCGCAGACCCTCTTATTTTACCAAGTGTCTTAGTTGGTAGCGCTAGTTGGTAGTTCTAGTGCAGCTATAACAGAAATACCGTAAGTGGGTGGCTTTAACAAACAGAAGTTTATTCTCTCACAGTCTAGGAGGCTAGAAGTCCAAATTCAAGTCCCCAGCTCCAGGGGAAGGTTTTCTTTCTGTCAGCTCTGGAAGAAGGTCCTTGTCATCAGTCTTCCCCTGGTCTAGGAACTTCTCAGTGCGGTGACCCCAGGTCCAAAGGATGCACTCTGCTCCTGCCACTACTTTCTTGGTGGTATGAGGTCCCTCATCTGTCTGCTCACTTTTCTCTTTTATATCTCAAAGATTGATTCAAGATACAAACTAATCTTGTAGATTGAGTCCTGCCTCATTAACATAACTGCCTCTAATACTGCCTTATTAACATCATAGAGGTAGGATTTACAACAGATAGGAAAATCACATCAGATGATAAAATGGTGGACAGTCACACAATACTGGGAATCATGGCCTAGCCAAGTTGACATA